CATTTATATCTTCTCCCCTGGCTTACGTTTTTAGATTTCAAGAAGACAAATCTCTTTCACTTTGATCTCGATAAAAGAATATATATCATCTACTTTCGGGGTATCTTGAATAAATGTTTGGCCCTTGGAAGGATATTCATTTGTGAATATGTTGTGTCGGTTTCAATTGTTTGCCAGTCTAGCTTTTCTGATATAATGGCGTCATTAAGTCGCTGCACTAGAGTACCTTTGTTGCCGCTTTTCTTAAGTCCTTGCTTATCCAGTTCACCTTACAGTTCTTCAATTTTCAATGATGAAATTGCTTTGTCGGGGAGAGCCAGGTGAAGGAAGATCTGATTTAGTAATCTCAGCCCTTCCTACGTTTTCATTGGGTTCAATGTCGGCTTCGTTTTCAGCATCTTCGCTCGCATCGCAATTAGTTGATTCAAGAACTTCTAAACTTTTAGATCCCCTGTAACTAGAACGAATTGTGTTTGTAGGCACTCCCAAGATACAATGTCATTTAGATCTTTCTCCAGTTTAACATAATAATCGTTGCCATCCGCTTTTGGTGGTATATTCCAAAAACCATAATCTCACGCCCACCAAACTTCAACTTAACAACCAGTGATTCAAATGTGCTATCATTCTGTTTAATTTAAGCCTTCTAGAGTGTGAATTAGACGAAAAGTATGCCATAATTCCTCCACTTCCCTTACACAGATACAGGTTGTGGCCCTTTAATTTACTAGCAAATCGACAGTTTGGATACGATGCGTCGATCTTTGTTGATTTACCAGCATGCTGAGCTCCTCGAATTTATTCTAAATAATATTTACGTTCAAATGAAATAGCGTTAGTTCGCGAGTGTCCTTTTGTCTCGAGCTCATAGTGCCAGGTATTTTCGCTTCCATGGGGATCTCAGCATTTTCACTTGCTGACCCGATATTTGCATATCCAACCTCGTTTTCTTCGAACCTTGAAACCTCTGTTGTTTTTATTGAATCTTCTTGCCTTTCCGTTTCCGTTTCCATGAAATAATCCTCGTCCCTAAAAGCAAGAAAGCAGAAGCCACACGACGATTCTATTTGGGGATTATCCCAGTAGTGCTTGAATTGCCCTTCCGTGAAGCCTATACAGTTTGCTGTGACCAGGTTTTACGTTCGGCACGTAATATTTCATCTTGGTTCGACCGTACGACTCTTGTTGCACTCCTTGCACTATCCCTGATAATGCTAAGCTAGAATTTTTAAAGGAACATTTTAACAGGGATTTAATAATGGGTCAACTAAACGTTTAAAAGTATCCAAAATAAATTTGAGGAACTTACTGCAACAATCAAAACCATTGGCGCTCATTTAATATTTATTAACGAAACCAAGATTGACTCGAGTTATCCGAACTATCAGTTTTTAATCCCTGGCTACTCACTTTATAGGCATGATAGAAAAAAAAGTGGCAGAGGCATTATGGCTTTAGTATCATCTTCACTGACCAAGAAAAGACTTAAACCCACTAAGATCTACAAGATTGTATTAGAAATTAAGATGAATGCTAGCAATATGGTAATTACTGGAATTTATCAGCCGCCGAGAAATCTGTCCGCTGACTACCAACTATTACTAGAGAATGAGCTCAGTAAGGTATGTAATTGGGCTAGTCTGCAGAGTACCTTTGTCGTGATAATCGGTGATCTGAACCTGGACAGATTAAGACCGGACAAGCGTGAGGGCAAATTGCTACTGGATCTCGAAATTGAACAGGGTTTTTTGATCTCAAAACCTACCAGAGTTAAACGTCGTGGAACAAGAGTTTAAAAGTGTCGACGGGCCTGCACGACTCCTGCAGTTCGCAAATAGATTGGTCTTAAAACCTTTATAGTTTAGCTCTTACTAGAGTGTCTTTTAGGGATTTTCCTTTGCGATATGAAATGAGGGTTGCTCCTTAAAGATGTTTCTCAGGTATGGTTAGTTCTGCATAAGGTGCCATTTCCCCATGAGTATGTTCTTGAGGTTGGGCAACGTAGGGTGGTATTGCGTTGCAAAGGGTAGTTTTTTCTTACCTGCATTTTTGTTTCTCTGGTGTAGTGCTTTCTTTCTGTCTGCGAAAATGACCTCTGAGAGATGTTTTTCTACAGTTGTAGCTGGGTAATCACTATTCTTTAGGTGTGTTGAAAAATTCCTCATGTTCTCTTCAAAAGTGATTTTCAGAGGAATTTCTTCTTAGAAGCCTTAAAGCTTCTCCTTTGATGAAGCCTTTCGTGGCGCCTGGTGGGTGACACGAATAGAAATTCGTGTATTGGAATGTCTCTGTAGGCTTGAAGTGTGTTTGCACGTCAAGGATAGAATCCTTGTTGAATCTGACACCTTTGTACACTTTGGGGTCCAAGAATGTAGTTTCTGTTTCTGATATTTCAGGCGTGAATTTGATTGTTGGATGGAAGTTGTTTGCCTTTAGAGGGAATTCTTCGATTTCGTTTCTGCTTGTGTCCCATACTAATACGACGTCATCGATAAACCTTTTTCCAAAAGATGGGCTTAATGGTGCTCTGTCTGAGTATTTCTTTTTCTATTTTGACCATGAAGATGTTAGTAAAGGCTACGGCCATTTTCGTGCCCATGGCTGTTCCATGGTTTTGAAGATAATCTTTCTCGTTAAATTGGAACGAGATTTCTAGTAGTATCAGACTAAGCATTTCGCTTAAAAACCTGGTAGAGACTGGAAGGTTTCCTTGGTGAAATTCTTCGTATGCATGGCATACAGTGGTAATACCCTCGCGTTGTGGTATGTTTGTGTATAGGCTTGTGACGTCCATTGAAACAAGTATGGCACTTTTAGGCAGTTAAATCTTCTCGATGAAGTTAATAAATTCTGTCGTATCTTTAAGATAGTTGTAGTTGTGCTATTGGCTGAATAAGGTGGTCAACAAAGGCTGAGATCCGTTCTGTAGGTCCGGAACACCCTGAGATAATAGGTCTTCTGACAGGTGTCGGTTTGTGGATTTTAGTAAGTGTGTAAAACACTAGGATTCGCGGAGGATCAGGCGTAACGGAGAGCCATTTAGCCCACCTGTTATCAATGTCGCCTTCTGAGAGTAGTGTTTTAATAAGTTCTTGAGCTTTTTTGGTTGTAGTTTCAACCATTGGTTTGTCTAGAGATCGGTAGTTATTTAAATCATCAAGCAGACCCTGAATTTCGTTTAGTTTGTCTTGTCTGCTCATCAATACGGTGGTGTAACCTTCATCAGATTTCTTAAGAATAATGCTTTTGTTGCTCGATAACACTTTGAGAGCTTGGCGCTCTCCCGTAGATATATTATCTTTTGGCTTATCAAATTCAATACTTGCGAGCTCTAATTTTACCTCCTCTAGGAAGGTCTCGAGAGCTACAGATGGCTGGACTGGTGTTTGCCAGTCCGACTTAACGTTCAAAGGATGAGGCTCGTTTTCTTCCCCGTGAAAAATATATTGTAGTCGCATTCGTCTGGCAAATTGATTGAAATCCCGAGAAGCTGGCGCCTGATAAGATTTTCTTTTGTCACGGGTGTAGGAATAAACTTTTTCTGTTTGTCTGTTTGTTTGTTTGTTTTTTATTTTTGGCGAAGCTAATAAAATAAAATAAAATAAAATAGATCACGCGATAGTAGAGTAATTTGCTCATATGTCAGTTGTTCATTTGACAGGTTTTTGATATACTGTTTGCGTGTCTCAATGGCGTTACAAAACCGCTTTTTGTCTTTGATATTTCTCCGCTCTTTTCTTTTGCGGTTTTTGGCCGCTTTGTTATCTCTGCGCTTTGATTTCCCTTTTCCCCTTACTACTAAGGAGTCTGATAAGAGACAAGAGTAAGATTCGCTTTGTTTATTCGCACACACTTGTGATTTCATTTGTTCTAACAATACATCGACTTAGCTAATCTCAGTCTACAACTCTTCGGCTAGCTCGTTTACATTGTCATCTTTGTTGACAGTTTTCTTTCTAGCCGGTGATTGCGTTTTCTTGTGAGACGTCTGGTTAGTTTCAGTGTTCCTGCGAGATTTATACTGTTCGAATTTAAGAAGCTTGTTTGTTAGTCGTTCTGCGTGCCTGTGGTGATATTTCACCAGCGCTCCTACGAGAGCCTGTTCTGCTTTCTTTCTGATCGAGCCTATCTCGTTCTTAAAGGCCTCATCGGGCGTAATAATGGCCCTTGCGTTATATCTCAAAGTCTTCGGACATGTGCCTTTCTCAAGATGACTTTTCAGCTTGACGATGCTCTGGTTTGAGCTCTTTATCTTTTCGTGAATGGAACACCTCTTCTTCCCATCCTGGCAGGCTTTCTTTGCATCGGAGTTGGCGGCTGTTTTGGCGGGCTTTTCGTGCTCGTCTCGGGGCGTTTCCTGTCCCTGTTGTTGCTTTTGCTCTATATTACTGGACGTACAGGCTTTTTGCTTTTCGTGTCTCGATTGGCTTTTCATTAGTCTTATTCATAAGCTCCTGGTTGGCCTGAACGCATGGAATCTCATTCTCTGTCTCCTCGTCTTCACTGGGGTTTCTGCAAAAGAGAGCTGCTTCTTCTTCTTTGCTCAAATCTCCCGTTTCCCTAGGCGAGTCCTCAGGGAGACGATCTATGGACGAGGTTTCTAAAAAAACCGACTGTAGTGAGATTGGTTTCTGCCATATTGCAGAAGGATTTTTAAGGCAAGACTGCAGTTTCGATTCTATATGAATTTCGTCAGTTGCCACTGAAAGTTCTGTGAGCAGTCTGTACAAAAAAAGCTGTTTTGAGTTTATATATCCCCTTTGACCGTTAAGCCGAGCGAAATCTTGTATTCAGGATTTTGGAACGCTCAAATCTTGAACTCAGGATTTTGGAAAGCCGAAATCTTGAAGTCAGCCAAAATCTTGAATTCAGGATTGTGGAAAGCCAAAATCTTGAAGTCAGCCAAAATCTTCAATTCAGGGTTTTTTAAAGCCAAAATCTTAAAGACAGCTAAAAGCTAAAATATTGCGAGCAGCCAAAATCATAAATTAAGGATTTTTAAAAGCTAAAAGTGTAAAGTCAGCCAAAATCTTGAATACAGGATTTTAAAAAGCCAAAATCTTAAACTGAGCGAAAATCTTGAATTCAGGATTTTGGAAAGCTAAAATCTCGAAGTCAGAAAAAATCTTAAAATTAC